AGGAATGTGTTATAAATTAAACATATGTATAGGCTATTGCCTAAACCATAGAAAATGAAGAGCTTTAACTGGCTGGATAATATTCATTGGTTAACTTTTAATAAAAATAAAAGCCGACTTCAAATAACTAAAAAAAATGTGATATTCCTTAGTTATCTTTTTAAAAAGTTGACTTTTAGTAAAAATAAAAACCTTATTCAAATAACTAAAATGAATAAAATAATTTCACATTGCGTTGTCGGGGCGTCGAATAAATCTTAGCACCGACTTCAAAATGTGAAATTATTTGATTCTTTTTAGTTTTTTTAACGTCGGTTTTTATTTTTGTTATAAGTTAATTTTTAATGTCCACACTTGGTAGGTATGTATGTATGTATTGCCGTAAGTTCGGTTACATATTCATATGCAAATCTTTTTAAGGAAACAGGATAACATCATGAAAACTTATGTGGATATCTTTATCGAAATTTAATCGATTAAATAAAAACAATTTTATTCAATGTGACCGCCATTAGCTTTGATACAGGTCTTTAATCTCTCTAGACATAGCGAAGAATCTATGGATTTACGTACTCTCTCCATGGGTAATTTGGCTACTGCTAGTTAATAAGATTTCTTGTGAGACTCAATGTTGGAGTAACATTTTTAGCGGGCTATTTCCTCTAGTACTGACTCTAATGGGCCTACATGCCCAATGTGTTCAGATTTGGGCTGGCCAGTTTTCATCTCTTATGAAGACCGGAACATTCTTCGAGTCAGGTTTGAGTTGTTCGTGCCTTGTGACCAGACACAGCCTTGCTATAAATTTCACTTTACATTATTGTAAAGTGTATAACTGAGAGGCTTCACTGTAACGTTGGTCTGTCCATGTTATACTTTTGTAGTATAAATTTAGAAGCTAAAATTGCTATTGACAATAGCGACAAAGAATTTAATGTACATGATGATTTTTAACCTTCACAACTAACTATTGCCGAAGTCATTATTTGTGATGACGGTCAAAATGAATGATTAAACAAAATAAATATGTTTATTACAATTATTACATAATCGCTTCTGAAAATTGTTTTTTAATTTGAAAAATTTTGTATGGTGTTATTGAGTTTCTAAAAAACAACCTTCCCAAAATGTGTGCTCAAATTTACCTTCTGTATGCTCGTAATGAATTACTCCTTTATTTTTGTTTGTTAATTGCTCAATTTTGCTTAAGTGATTTGTAATCTTTTGAGAAAGAAATAAGAAAAATTAAAATTAAAAAAAAAACTACAAACTTAAATTAAATTTTACTACACGTATACAACATATAGATGAAGAATATTCACAATAATAAAAATAAAATTGTTACAAAAAATAATAATAAAAATAAACTTGTATACAAAAAAGCAGATATTAACTATGTAATTGTGTTTGTAATGCCGCCAATGACTTCGATCGGGAAAATGATTAAATAAAAGGCCGACGACATAATATTAATGCATGTACACTGCATCTTCTATAAATCCTCGTACTTTCTCTTGCCAGTGAAACCTAAGTCACGCCATCGTCTCTTATCATGCTCATGATTAAAAAAATGTTTAGGAATCAATATATTGCATAATGTAACAAAAAAGAAAAAGAAGATTGCTTAGCATAGAGAGCGATTGTTAGTTGGCAAAGGTCAGGCTTTTTTAAAACTATACTTGTCGCATTTTATTAATAAAATAACCCAAGAATTCTACAGCAGCGGGATTATGTCACTACCTACAAGATGACAACAAGTTATCGAATAAAATGGCACATATATTATTAATTAAATGTAATTAAACTTTGAAAAGATTTTTTTTTAGAAAACGTTACCCCCACACTAGGATTTTCTCCTGTGTCGTGGAGGCAGTTTACAAACATAAATTGCACAAGGACAAACATCCAGACCCGGAACAATTATTTGTAGGCCATACAAATACTTGTTCCGTGCGGGATTCGAACCCGCGGCCCCCAGCGCTACAATTGATTGCTAAGCCACTGCGCCACGGAGCCGTCAAAATGTCTTGAATTTGTATGTAAAATACGATGAAACTTTTTCCACAACCTTATAGATGAAGTATGTAAATCTGATGAAAATATGTAATATGCGGGCAGCCTCGCCCTACACGCAACGGATAGAATCATGACATCAAATAAGACTCATAGATCACTGATTCAAGCTGTTGTTGAATAAACTTAGTTGTCTGCGTTGTTCTTCATCCTGCTGAAACGAGTGAGAATTTCCAATTCTACCCTCACTTCATAGTATTTTCTTTAAGTTAAATTCATAACAGCATGGTGTCATAGCTCCAGACATCTAAAAATAAGTGGAAAAAAGAGCGCTGAGTTAATAGCCTTGAAGCATGCCGGTGTACACTATGTTCAAATCTCAGAGAGGGACAAGCTGAGATGGATTTAGATGGCGTGGGGGCCACTAGATAGTGATGACCTGGTAAGACATGCAGGAAGTTGATGGATGCAGGTAGCTCAGGACCCTGCTATGTGGCATTTCTTGGGGGAGGCTTATGTTCAGCAGTGGACTTGTGACGGGCTGTAATGATGATGATGAAAAATAAAAGACATTATTTTATAGGAGAAGGGGCAAATGAGCATACGATTTACCTGATAGTAAGTGACTACCGTCGCCCATGAGAAAATGCTACACCAGGGGAATTGCAGGTTTGTATCCGGCCTTTTAGAAAGGTGTAAGTTCTTTTCTTGATGGTCTCTAAATCGTATCGGTCCGGAGAAATCGCCGGTGTTAAACTATTCCTCAGAGAGATCGTACCAGGAAGAACACATCTAGTAAAACGTACAATGGTGGACTGCCAAGCGTCAAGATGGTGTGGATTGTATCGGGAGTTTTGCCGCGATGGGTGTTCGTGAAATTGGGCCGCTGGATTTAATCCGGACAATTCCTCAGAACACTCACCGTGGTAGATGCGAAAGAAAATGCCAAATGATTCAACATCTCGTCGCAGCACCAGTGAATTGAGCCGATCGGAGAGGACTCGGTCGTCGACGATTCGAGCCGCTCTGTGCTGTATGTAGTCAAGTGGAGGAGCTGGCACTGGGGAGCCCCAGCCCAGTGATGGGAACAGTATTCCATGTAAGGCCGAACCTGCACCTTGTAAAGTTGCAGGTGGTATGCCGGCATGAAATACCATCCCGCTCTGCTGAGCACGCCAAGTTTTTTAGAGGCCAATTTGGAATTCTCTTCCAAATGACCACGAAACTGTACATTATTCGATATGTCGACGCCGAGAATTCCGATACCGGCTGAGGCGACAAGGGGAGTGTCTGGCAACATATCATTGATATGCAGAAGAAAAAAAGGTGATAGCACGCACCCTTGTGGAACACCAGCGTTTACAGGTTTATAATCGGAGCATGCACCGTCTACTACGACCTTGATGCCCCGATCTGCAAGAAAGCTGATGATATAATTGCACAATTTCTCGGGGAGCCCTATAGGAACGGAGCTTCGAAATAAGCGCTTTGTATCAAACCATATCGAAGGACTTCGCTATGTCTAAACGTACAGCCAATGGCCTCTCCCTTAGACTCTACTGCTAAGGGAGAGGCCATTGGCTGTTTGTGTTTTTTATGTTTCAGATACACCAAATGACCAGATCAGAAATACCAGAAGATCACCAAATGATCGACCCCGACGAAAACCGTATTGGCGGTCACTAATCAGCTGGCGATCCTCAAGGAGCTGACGAGCAATCGTTTCCTACATAAGTAAATATCACCGTCCAAAATGAACTGTGATACAACAGTTAAGGTATTCATTTGTTTAAAAAGATCTCTGAATGATTATTTTCTGAAAATTCTGTACATTGTAAATCTACAAAATCTGGTTGCTTGGCCTCCCACCACTGTGCGCTTTTCCAGAAATTTTCTTCCTCTGGTGTTTCAGTTGTTCATGGGCGGCTGTAGTACTTACTTACTACGAAACTAGTTGTAGGAAAGGGTTACCACAATCGCCATGTTACCCATGCGGTGTATCGCTCACGCTATCAGATGTGGTTCGACAAAATACTGAGCTCTCTCGCAATTTTGACGCTGCCCCATTGCCGGTCGGATGTTTACAAGTGACATACAAGATACTCCTACTCCAGCCAGTTTTAACGGCACTCTCATAGTTTGAAGAGACGGCAATCTAATGCGACCGGAGAGAGACTAGCCATCGGCGCAGGACAGGATTATAGTGCCCAAGTGTATACGCAAGCACAGGTCCGCTCTCTATTCCCTCACTCTCATAGTCCGATGGGACGGTAAACCGATACGACCGGAGAAAGATCAGGCGCAGAACCAAAGGTTTTACGTGCTTTCCGAGGCACGGGGGTGAAATACCTACCGCCATCTTCCTGAATCCGAGGTGCTCCTGAGAATTTCTTGACAGAAAAAACCCAATAACTGATTTTTGGCCCAACCCGGGATTCGAACCCGGGACCACATGATCAGCAATTACGTTTAAGACTACTAGACCAATGAGACAGTCAATTTTTTATTAATTGAGAAACCGTTACATATAATTAGAGCAAAAATTAATATGCTATCCCATAATTATCATTTTTCAGCTTTAGAAGCTTTTCAATATAACAAAAAATGGAAACTATTTTTCATTTTAGTAACACGTAACTTTTTTAAATCTAAACTAACTACAATCAAAGTAAGGCTATGAAAAAAACTGTCTGAGAAACTTTGACGTCCTTAAGAATAATTGTTAATAATGGTTGTTGACAAAAACTAATGCATTTGTTATTATCTATCCACAAATAAAACGCGCATTGCAAATGATAGAAATTACGCGTTTTTTATTATGTAGGATACATTGTACGTGTCGAATGAGATAATTAACAAGAGAAAAAAAAAACTTGTTGAGCTTCGTATATAAAATGTGTGATTTGCTAATACAGGACAGACAAGTGCAAAGCAAGGAAGAAGTAGGTTGCGTTAACTTTAAAATAGTATATTATATAAATTTAAAAATGTCGTCGTTACATTACTTTTTTCTTTTCACTGGAATTATTGCTGCTAGCTTAAGAAATGTTAGGGTAAGTGCGATAACTACAGAAATTATTTTTATACTTAATATTAACAAATTATAAATTTTTATGACGATGTTGCAATGTTACGTTACGTTAGTAATGTTTCTTTGTTTGTCACTTTACATCATAGCGGTAACCTCCCAATATTTTTGGAAATCAAACTGTACAAACTAATATTCAGGCATTCAGGCATGGTGTCTGTCTTGTCTGTGCTCGGTGTTACGCTTATCCAAGAACGTAGCAAGGATGCAGTGTTAGCAGACACTTCCAAAAACCTATAACTTGTACAACTTGTGAATCATGAAGATGATGATGAATAACTGGTGAATTCACACCCAGTACTCATGACAGTGAAACCAAGTAGTCTGACCGTCTGACGTTTAGTCAACGAAGTTATTTTAGTTTTTTTTTCTTAAAACAAGTTACCCCCCATACACTTTCTCCTGTATTGTGGAGGCATAAATGGCACGGGCACAAACTTCCAAACTCGGAAGAATACAAGTAATTCTTCCGGCCATACAAATACTTGTTCACTGCAGGATTCGACACCGGTGGCCCTTAGTCCAGTACAATCCAACCCAGTAGTAAATGGTGATGAAACCTAGATAGTAATCACTGTCTTAGCGTAACAAAAGCCACATCAAAGGTACATCCCGGAAAGTAGGAGCCAGCGTGCACCTTTTTAAGGCGAAGGGACACGCTGGTGTTTTGTAGGCTTTGCATCTTATAAAATTTGCATTGCTCCATTTGGAGACCGCTTGCAGTGAGAAATTCGCACGCTGAAGCATAATATTAAGTTGGTATCTCCTCAGAACAGTGCATCATCTGCATACACATTCTACGTGGTAGAGCCATGCTGCAGCTATATTATGGTTGTAGCACGAATAGGTCGGTTCGACCGGGGAAGAACCACGCTCTCACAGAAAACCAGCGTAAAATAGCAGCTTAACGCTGCTGTGTTTCGTATGGTGAGTGTAGAGAACCGGAGACCCGTTTTACTGGCAAAAAGGCATTCCATCTTAGTCCTCACGGGTGACAACGCATCTGCATCTTGAGTCTTTATTGAGGATAGATGTAGATGTCTATGGGTCACAGTAACCACTTACCATCAGGTGGACTGTGTGCTCGTTTGTCGTCCGATCCTATAAAAAAAAAACATAGATACCGGGCATAAGCGGAAGAGAATAGCGAAGAGAACGAACCTCTGAGAAAGTCCTAGTCCTCATAAGCAGCTCTCGGCAACAATTTGAAGAGACCGTTTACTCAGAAAGTCCTTCACCCCGACCTCTGCGTACCAAATCCTGGAAAAGACCTTTCGAGGCGTCAAAGGAAACAGCAAGTGCTTATGTGAGTAGTGTACGCGAGAAGGTCTCCAGTTGAATGATTTCGGTGAAACCCGTACTGGTAGTTGCCGAGGTCATTTTGTTTTAGGAATGCCATGAGATGGGTGTACAATATGTGGTCCATAATCTAACATATAATGGAGGTAATTAAAATTGGCCGATAGTTGACAGGGTTGGACTTCTTCCAAGATTTGGGCACTACTCCAGTCCTAAATGAGAGGCGGTACTGACGTGTCGATTCAGGAGATAACCTAGGCACACAGGCCTTTAAAACTATAGCTGGTATCATCCAATTTATCTGATTTGTTCATGTGAAATGAGCTTTGTTCACATCTAGAACTCAATTCTTTTTGGTGATGCTGACCTCCGACACAGAGGTTACGTAACCACTGTGTCGGTGTGAGGTAATTGAGTAATTAGGGCCATATAAGAGGTGTCACTAAAGGGCTTCAATAGTAACCGTATCATAACCGCTGTGCGATCAGTAGACATAATAAATGATTTTATTAATTCCCGTATCTATCAATACCATACCAATATCGTGAAGAAATTGGAATCTTCAAGATGACGGAGAGACTTACAGCAGATGTCCTTGCGTTCACCCAGACTTCGGCAAGCTGAGAAGTGACGTGATGCTCTAGTAAGCACCCAGGGTAACCAAGGTACAAGGAAGAACAAGCACAGCTTATTCTTAAGTCGACTTCGTTAAGATTATAGTAAAGAGTCCGGATGTTTGGGAGGTGCACTTTTTCATCGATCTGCAGGGACCATACACCCCTTGTAAATCACCACCAGGCCCTCTCCTCTGGTCGCGAACCGTCCCAACCATCCCAGGATTTTTCGTAATATGACAGCAGCAGAACAGCACTACGAGTGACTTGCTCATTAATTAGGTCCCCAATTATCTACGACCCCGATCGACAGCTGTAGTCTCATTGTTATTTGTTATGCGGGTAGTCCGATAAGACGGCAATTCGACGAGACCGATGAGGGAATTGACGGCTACACGAGCTTTACAACCAGGCTAAGTACTTGACTCCTGTAACTGAAAATTTCTTGACAGAAAAAAATTCAGTTAGTTTTTTGGCCAGACCTGAGTTTCGTAACCAGGCCAGCAGTCGCGCTTACGGCCATTAGACCAACAAGGGTGATAGCAGTAATAGCAGTGTTAGGATACCACCCTCCTTCCTATTTCTGCCGCCAAGCGACATTGCATTCATTGCTATTTCCCCGTCGGAATGGTATGGAGATCTCGAATATTTTCAGACTGTGAGGCGTTACATCAAAGGCTTCGGGAATGACGACCCACTGGTAGTATTCTTATAATGAGAATGTTTCTTTTGAACTAAGTTGGTCACTGGCTGGTTGGTCTATGGACCGCTGTAGCCATTACTATCAGGTAGATTGTTAGCTCGATTGCCACTTTAATTTTATAAAAGAAATGTTGTAATTAACCGTGCCTTTCATTAACACGGCATTCACGCCTACATCTGATACTATCGCATGAGGCTCACGTTACATAGCACCGGTGATTGCTTCTGTGTTTTCTTTATAACAGCTTGATAATTCAATAACAGTGACTGTAATTATAAATAAACATCAATATAAAACCGGGATAAATTTTATTTAGAGAAAAATATGTCTTCCTAGCAGCCAACTTGCCTCTTAGCGAAGCTGCGGCTACCGATAATTTAATATTGCTGTTGTTTACAATTTTTTTCTATAGACAGCAAAATAATTCATGGCTTTGAAACCTGAGAATTATCATGCAGGTCAGCGAAATTGCCAACGAAAACATTGTGATACATTTTAGGCTTAGAACTCACGGAGCTATATTGTTGTGCTCGCCCTGGTATACGAACTGCGATTTTATTTCAGAACAATTGAGACCGTAGTATTGTGCGGATTTCTGCCTACTAGATACAGTAGTAAAACTCTTAAAAGTTAAGTTTTACTTATGAATTTGCCACTTTTTTGACGTTTTTCTAAAATAGGGATGACAAGCGAGCATTGCACTTGACATCTACGTCTATCATTGATTTAACGACTAAGATGGTCTCGTTATCAGTACAAAGGGTTTCCGATTGCACACACTCACCGTACTAAATGCAGTATTATTTTGCCGTTTCACGCTAATATTCTATGAGATCATGGTCCTTGTCCCGTCTAACCGACCCATTCATGCTGCAACGTTATGCGTAGAAAACTCCATAATACTTCGATTATTTTCTAGTGACTACATTATTATAATGACTAAAGCTTCGGCCAAACTAAGGCGGATCACGCGCGGGACGCGGGACGCGAATCTGCGCGATTCGCTCGCTCGCTTAGCCTCCCAAACTGAGGCGAATCCCGCATGTCATTAGTTTTGGTTTCTCAATAGGAAAACATCTCTCAAGATATGAGGAAGAAAAGAAGAAATTGGGTTCATGAGCTGACTACACAACGCATAGAATTTGGAGAGTTTTACACTTTGATACACACATTACGAAATGATAAAAAAAGATTTTATATATAGTTTCGTATATCGAAATATAATGAAGTTTTAACAGTGGTAGAGCCACGCGGCAGCTTTTGCTGTCGCACGGATGGGCCGGCTCGAACCGGGGTGGTACCACGACCTCACAGAAAACCAGCGTGAAGTAGAGGTTTACTTCTGCGTTTCGCTTGGTGAGTGCAGGTGGCCGGAGGCCCTTTTTACTGGAAATGAGGCATTCCATCTTAGTCCTCACGGGTGACAACGCATCTACATTTTGATTTATAATAGAGGATAGATGTAGATGTCTATGGGCCGCAGCAACCACTTACCATCAGGTGGACTGTGTGCTCGTTTGTCACCCTTATCATATAAAAAAAAAAGTTTTATTAAGAATCGAAGAAATTATACGGAAACAAATTTTTTTCCATTCTTGATAAAACTTTCCATACCCTATCTTTTTACCTATTATTTTTATAGTCTTCGTGGCTGAGGTCGTATAGAATCTTGTTTTCTTTTACTTTTTGTAAAAATAATTCAAGATTCAACGGCATTTCGAAAAATCATGCACTATCCCGCGTATCGCAGCAGAATGTGCGACTAATCGCGCCAATGTGAACTCCTCTATACAAGTTAGCTGACGCAATCGGCGCGAGTCCCGCGCGGGATTCGCCTCAGTTTGGCATATATAATAGTTTGGAAAATCCAAAAGTGCACGCCTCATGAGCGTTTCATTTAGTTTCGATGAAAAAAAGTAACTTGCCAAAATAAATTGATAATACAAAGTATGAAATCGATTTAGGCTGTAACACATTTGCCCTTTGTCTATCAATGGCTAAAGAAAAAAATAAAAGCGGCTTTAAATTTTAATAGCAATAAAACTTATAAAACTTGAAAATAATTTTATTAGCAAACGACGCGAACTAAGCTATTGATATAAATAGAATATAATAGATTTTTTTTTAATTCAATATAGATCACATGTGTAATTCTTATTGAAAGTCAGTTTTTACTTTACCACTGGTTCGAAAAAAACTGTTCTGTTCTGGGAAGAACTGGAAGGACTTTTTTATAACGTGAAGGTAGATAGATATTATTCCATCTCGATCGCACTATAAAAAGTGGGTCGTGACAGAAAAATCTTACACTGTTTCTCGCCTAGTCCCCATCCGTCAAATTCGTACCGTGCGAAAAGGAACTTCGTTCCAAAAACCCGGTCGCGATACGTCAATTTTTATGGTAGTTATCGTGACCACATACAAAATCAACATCCGTACGTCCACGTAAAATTTTTTTCAAACCATTTTTATCAAAATAGCAATATAAAATGATTTTTTAGAAAATATAAGATCGATTAATTAGTGTTTTCTTGATATACGGCTACGAATATTATCGTATAAGTGCAATATTGTTATGATAGAGGTGTTTTAAGACGACAAAATTGCTTGACCTTGACGTGTCGGGAGTAATCCACTACCTAATAACGCTTCGCGTTATGAGGCGTGCAACACATTTAACTCAATGGTTTTAGCATTTAGTATTCGAGCAACTCTATTTTCAGTGCCAACTCTAATGGAATTGTTAATTATATTTACTAGTTTAGTTTTTATTTTGAACGAGTTACTGCTGTCGCGCTGTGTCTGAACAACCTAGCTAGATAATCCAAATTAATAACTGCACCTCGGATTGATTAAATGTAACGAGATCATCATCTCGTGTTCCCATATTTCCTTCTCCAAAACTAGAGCTTTGTTGCAAAAACGATATAAGAAATTGCGGCTGTACCTATGTCTGCACGTTACGTTTCTTTTATAAGAAATTTTTTGATGCTGTGGTCCATAGACACTACTTTTAACCTTGATTAAAAACCAAACATAAATATGTTGCCACCTTCTGAAGACTAAGATGGAATGCCTCGTTTCTAGTAAAAATGGTCTCCGGTTCTCTACACTCATCATACGAAACACAGCAACAATGAGATGCTATTTATTGCTAAGAACCTAGCCGTGGTAAACATTGCTAGACGTGATAGACGTGGTGATAGATTGTTTCGTAAAAATATTTGCTCTAATGTCATTACCGTAACAACCTATTAAAGTACATTGCATACGGGCCTTCCCCGTATATTTCCTGATAGGGAGTATATTTGCCTTAGTTGCGACGTTTGGCAAGCGGTTTGGCAACCGCAGTTTTTATTTTTAGTCGTTATTGGGAAGACGTTGTTGCCCATCTCCTGATTTGTTTCCCTCTGTCGCCTCTGATGTCACCCAGGAGATGATGGGTAGTGGATATTCTTACACCACCACTACGTGTCGTGTGTAAAATTCTAATATAATGTGATTATTGAAGGAAAAGATACAGCACTAGACAGTATGTGCTTATTTACCACGTGCTCGGTGGCGAATATAAACAAAACTAAAGTATTAACATATTGTTTAGGCTTTAACAGCAGAAGAGATCTCGGCAGTAGAAGATGCGGTGCATCCTTTTGCGATAGAATGCGGTAAAGAATTTGGCGTGACTGAGGAACAACTTAAAAAGGCAAGGGAATCCGGGGATACTAGCTCTCTTGACCCTTGCTTAATTGCTTGCTTTGGGAAGAAAATGGGATTGGTAAGTTTCTTGTACAAAATAGTATCTTGCAAATAACGCAAGCAATATACATGGAGAAAGAACAAATTAATACCAGAACATCAAAAACACAAAATGGTAAAAACCTTACTTTAAAATTGAAAAAATTAAAAAGAATCACATATCACTATACTGTTTATTGATATTTTGGTATAAAAGTATGTGCAACGTTTTTATTTATTTAAGTAGTAAGGTCTGATTAATTCCAGGCAAACTAAGTTCACAGCTGAATATACTCCCCCATATATTGCCCCATAGAGACATATTTGACATGGTCACCAAACTTAGCGGGCGGCTTGACAACCGCAGTTTTTTAGTATTATATTATATTGATTTGTTACCAGGAAGATGCTGCAGCCCATCTCTTATTTTAGTTTTCCTATTTCATTCTTAGGAAGCAACGAGAAGATACTCATTTTGGTGTTAGGACTATTCTAAGGCACATTATTTTACGACCCTATATTTTAGAAATATTAAGGATTACTTAGTACACAGTAACTTCTTATTGTTTGGATGATATGTTAATTAAAAATGGATCAAGTGTATTTTCCAAGTTCCCGGCTTTAAAACCCACCTGAACATGAATAGAAACGAAGAACATGCAAATTATAAGTTTTTTTTTTCACTGTAGGATGCTTTATTATAATAAACTCAATCACTGTTTTCCTTTTGACTTCATAGACTCGTTACAGTCCGCTGCTGGGTCATTAGGCCTTTCTAAGATAACCCGTAGTCGACACCTACGGGGACGAAAGTTAATAGATTCTCCTATCTTAGCATCATACGGCTTTTGGTATTAGGACAATCGTTTTGCATGTTTCAGATCAATGACAAAGGAATGTTCGACGCAGAAAAGGCTACGGAAATGACCAAGCAGTTTATCGCAGACGAAGAAGCGCAAAAGATTATTATGGAAATAGTTAATAAATGCAGTTCAGGTATGTTAATTGTATACATTTTGTGTAATGAAATTGGCGACTTTACTTTTTGTGACAATTTCAATTTTACTTCAAAATAAGTAATTATCTTGTTTGATTTCAATAAAAGTTAACAATTCAGTTTATATTAATGAAATACATTGTTTTTTTAAACTAAATTTCGATATTATTTTTCACATTACTATTTTTGCCCAATCAGCTTGCAACGATTTTAAAAGGCTATGGTTAATCCGGTTTTACTTTAAAAATAACATATTATGTAATATTTCAGTAAACGAGCAGTCGGTTGGCGACGATCAAGGTTGTGAAAGAGCTGTACTGCTGACTGAATGCTTTAAACCTTTGAAAGATCAGGTAAAACATTTGAATATACAGAGTTTCCACCTTTTTAAATCCACTTACTAGTTTTTTTTTATTGCAAATATCAGTGGATAACAGGACTATGTAATCTGACGATGTTCAAGAAAGGATTATAGTGCCGACGTATATGTGCAAGTACAGGTGTACTCTCTATTCCCTTACCCTCATAGTTTGACGGGACGTCAATCGGACACGACCGGAGGGAGACCAAGAGGAGGACAAACGCATTGAGTTATATGTACTACGTACTAGACTAGAGAACCCATTCTAAACAAAAATTGTGTCCTACTCTATGTCATCGCGCATGCGCGGGAGTAGTAGTCGCGCATGCGCGAAGACTTTAATTTGATGATTTGATATAAAATATATATAGTAATTTAATATTTAATCTTAATTTAATCTAAACAAATATATTTCTAAATAAAATGTAATAATAAATATTTTATGGAAATCACAAATATTCAATTTACACAATATTTAGTTTAGTGTACGGATTGCAGTACACTTCAGTTGAACATAGTCAATGTTCGGAATGGCTTCTCTAGTACGTAGTACATATAACTCAATGGACAAACGGTTTTACGTGCTTTCGGAGGCACATTGGTTAAGCACCGCATCTTCCTTACTTCGAGCTGCTACTTCTTGACAGACAAACCCAACAACTATTTTTGCGACCCGTGATTCGAACGCAGGACCAGATGATCAACAGCCGCTTTTATGACTACTGAGAAGAATGAGGGAATCTTCATCATTATCGTTACTCAGTAGTCCAACATATGCTTAACAAGTATCAAACCCGAATAATATGTAGCTATCGCGACATTAACAGCGTGATTGTCATAGTCAGACACCATTGACAATGCTCCCTTGTGTGTCGTGATATGTGTCTATCAGAGGTTATCTGATTTTCAAACAACGTACATGACGACGTAAAGGTTTCAAAGGTACGAGGCGGCTGGTTACGATCGCCATTTTGCCCATTAAGTGTTGCCGACTAATATTTTTAAATGTTTCATGATTAGGCAGCAATTTTTGAGTCTGAAAATAGACGAAGAATAAAGCAATTTTGATAATAATAATCTTAATTGTTCTCAGATATTGATTGGAGATACAGTATATCACATTTGCATGCATTTTACGACAAAATATTAAATACAAAAATGTAATAGATAATGTTTCAAAGAGATTTAAGTATAATATATCCTACACAAAACAACACAAACGCAACTACCGTAGTGAACGACATAACAGTATCACGTGTGATGCGGCTGGTTATGATCGTCATTCCGCCCAATAAGTATGGCGATTACAGCAAATGCATCTTTTTATTGGATTTTTATTGGCCCTTGTTTAGCAGTGGCTGAAGAATGGTAAACGATATATTGTGTTTGAGCGTTGTTGCTTTTTGTTACAGCTTGCCGCCCTTCAATAACAGGATTACTGAAATACTATACAGAATATATTGAGTATGCTGTCAATCACGTTAAATGTTTGAATTATTTTATATGTTATTGTAAATTTTTATGCAATAAAGGCATTAATATTGAATTTCTCTTTTTTAAACTTATAATTCTTATAATACTGATGAATTTGATCTTTGTAGTACAAATTATATTTATAGTTCGCGGCGGGTATCATTATTAACTTAAGTTATTAGAAATTTAAATCCATCAATTTTCTTGGTGTTTCCGTGTCATAGCCCCCTGGACGTTTTTTTTTTTATAGTACTGATGTAACAAACGAACTTAGAGTCGATCTGCTGTTAAGTGACTTCTAGAACTACAGTCAATCTTCTGGTAAGCAGAGGCGTAGCGTGAACTAATATAGACGTGGGCGAAGTCAAATTAGCGAGGCCCCTTCTTTCTTATTTCTTCTTAATAACTGGCTTTACGGCTCTGGGTTCTAGCCCTTCTGAGCCTGAAGTTACAATATATTATAATAATTATCCTTCATAGTATATGGCTTTACAATATGTTGATTCGTCACATTGTGCAGCCCTTGGGAGATTTTGACGGTAACTTGAGCCAGCAAACGGTTGGCGATGGTATCTCAAGGCGGCTAAGCCGACAGACACCTTATTTTGAGAAATCACATCACTATCAGAGCACTTGTTTCACAGTTTCCACTAATAGTTCACATGCGCATACAATACACAAAATCGCACCACTTTTACATATCAAAGTCCACTTCAAACCATTATTTAAACAATAATACAGGAGCAGCAAACCGCCACCGGTCAAGTTCCCGCCAAAACTCCAGCGAGGCCCCTTTTCTTTCATTCCGAAGATTTACCCAATAGATCCATCCTACCAAACATGCTTTGACAGGACATACCGACTCATAGCTTTTAATTTCAGACGAGTCTCGTATGCCGTCAGTCTGATGGTCGCGGACTTTGAAGGTAGTTACAACCACCTCGCAGTCACACTTAAAAGGGGCTTATTGCGAGGCCCCAAACACGCTTTTAAATTTGTGACGTTCTTTTTCGAGCAAAGTGATCAAATTAATTAGTCATCTGTGGTAAAGTCTGGGGGCAACGCATTTTAAGGGGCCTCGCGAGGCCCCTTTGAGTGCCAGGCCGTGGGCGAAGTGGGGCTAGCTACGCCACTGTTGGTAGGTGGCACTTGCCAAACGTAGTAACTATGGCAAATATTCCGCGTATCATAACCGTCTAATAAGCAAATATATGGGAAGGTGGATTTTCCTAGTCATATCATACCTAATATCGAACCATCCATCCATTACAGCATAAATTGCCTCGTAAGTTGGATTTTGCCTTAGTTGCCACGTTTGGCGAGCGGGGTGGTAACCGCATTTATTTTTTATTTTGAGTTGTTATCATACAGATGCTGCTGCCCATCTGTTTTAATTTCCCTCTGTCACCTCTTACGACACCTACGTGATGTTATGGGGTAGTGGACATTCGTACACCATAACTACACGGTTTACTATACCCAAAGAGATTTAAATATATAGGTATACTATAGAGCGGACATAGAGAACGTTTTCATACAAAAACTTTAGCTCGCGCGTGTGTGACGCCCTCTAGCTAAACATAGCAAAACTACGCAGAATATTTATTAGGAAAACATTTCAGCTATTCCCCACTAGGTGACGCTACTAAATGTAGGGTAAAAACCCCTTATAGGAATGTTACCGTTTCGACATCAAAGTATCAAAAATGCTGTTGAAGGTTACTAAGGTGTAATGCTTTATGATATAATAATAGGGAATATGCCGACCGACCAATCATATACTATTATTATAGCGTCTAATAGACCTCTCGACGTCATCCAAGATGCTATCAATGTGACTGCTGTTTGAATTGATTCTTAGTTATTGGAAATTAAATATTATATTTCATGTCATTCATGACGTTATTCATAACTTAAAACGTTTAAATGATTTTTTTGGTGTGATGGGAATCATAGTATATTTATTTAGTATATGCCTGCTTTTTTATTGTATAAATCTAATAGATAGTCGGCGTCGAAGGCACATCGCGAAACGTCAAATCCAATAAGAGAGCACCTCTATGTTTTTCAAATTCGTTTGTTTTACAAAAATACACTTTAAATCTATCATATTTTAGGAAAGCTCAGTAGAGCGGGACACTACCGTAAACAAAAAAGCGACCGTTTGCAACTTTACAAGCGCAGGTTCGGCCTCACATGGAATACTTTTCTCGTCTCTGGGCCAGGGCTCCCCAGTGCGAGCTCCTTCCACTTGACTGCAGAGCAGAGCGGCTCGAATCATCGACGACCAAGTTCTCTTTAATTGGCTCGATTTCCTATCGTATTTAACACGGGAAGTGCTCCGAGGAATTGTTCGGATTAATTCCAGCCACCAAATTTCACCAACACACATCGTGACAAAACTTACGTTAGCATCCACATCATTTGGATGCTTGGGGGTCCACTACCGTGCAATTTATTAGGAGTTTTCTTAGGAATCGTTTACCAACGGCAATTTTTATGGACCAATACGACTTAGGGACCTTCAAGAAACGAACTTACTTCTTTTTGGCCGGCAACGCATCTTCAATTCTCCTGGTGTTGTAGAATTATATTAAAATTAAAAAAAAGGCTATCTCGTTGACTGGTTGTACTGTCAGCCAGTACATAGATGTTTCATGTTACAACTAACGACCGTGTGCCCTGACACAGGCTTAGCCGATTTCTTTATTGGTACCGGTACAGTATCGTTTACTGTTTCACCTCCTTAAATATTGTAAAGGATTAAATCGGCATCCTGTATATTTTTTTATCGATAATCCCAATCGATAAACGACGTCAATCACTAACTTTAAAATTGTTAACTAAATAGTGACGCTTACTGGATAACAGAGGGCGCGTATTACAATGAAAATAAATGTTCTAGAACAATCTAATAGAAATAATAAAATTTAAAAATTATTTGGTAAATATTATTCTTGCGATAATAAACCTAAGTTTTTGCTCCATATCGGGGCTTACAATACCTTAATGCACAATCGGGCATATTTTCTAAAAACAATATTTTTTAAACTTAGGAAACGAATGCGTCTTGAGCTTTTGACTATGTCACTAAGACTAAATGACACAAATCCGAAATATATCCTATAGGACATAAGTGATATGGGACATAGAACATAGGTGACAATTTTGTTGCTGATGTACTGATGACTCATATTATAAATGTTAAAGTTTGTTTTGATGTTTTATGTACGTAGCTCAATCACACAAAAACTACTACTTTAGTAGGATGATAATTCTCAGGAGGGTTATTGCTCATCAGATGACAGCAGGCCCACGCTCGGCTGTGGCCGGCTACACTCGGTTACAGATCCTTCGTGCTCTTTGTAACAAAGATTTGCCCACAATAGCTAACTGTGAAGGACGATGGTGAGATTCACCGTTTAAATATCGGTTATCATGGGTCTTTTTAGGGTTCCGTATCTAAAGGACAACCAACGGGACCCAATACTAAGCTTCCCCTGTCTGTCCGTCCATCAGTCAGCGAAATGTTCAAATTTTTACAGAATGTGTATTTCTGTTGTCACTATAACAAAATAAAAATACGTTTCATGCGCGAGTCCGACTCGCACTTGGCCGGAAATTTATATACACAGCTGTGTAGATCTAGAACATTCTACAAGCTGCCGAAAAAGATTAGGAAGTTCTTAGGATCCGTCAAGTGTAGTATCCCTCTACAATATGCAGGAGTGTACTAGCTTGATTGTGAATGTGGTCTTTCTTATATAGGGCAAACAAAACGGTCTTAGATGTAAAACACCCTTAAAGTCGGTAATTAAAAATAAGAAGAATTAAGCGCGACAAAATCCGTAAAATAGTTTCATTCAATGTGTAGTTTTCGTATAAATATAAGAAATCATTATATTTGTAGTGCATACAGACAAATTTTGCATGAAAGGCAAAATACATGTCTTTACTGAGAGAGGGTGCGAGTTACACCGTAAAAATAAATGTCAGCTTGTCCTTCTCTGTGGTTTTAAATCTAAAGTGAACAGTGTCCACGAGAAGGCAACCAAATGTAACGGCGATGCAATTGATCCAAAGGCTACAGTCTCAACACCAGATGCTTGTGAGCGAATAAACAGTGAGAAGGAGACTTCACGGCTTCAACCTGCATGCTTGTAGACCGCTTCAGGTCCCAGCTCAAAGAGGAAACCGTGGACGAAGACTGCAATGGGCTAAGGAACATGTGAACTGGGAACTTCATCAAATGTCGGTGATTTTCAATCCCGATTTGGTTTTCATCCTATTTCGAGGAGACCATGTGTTTGGAGAGTTCCTGATCGGACAAGTCGGCTTCAATACCCTCAAGAAGTTCATTCATACCAAGACAATTATGGTGTGGGTGGGAATTCGTTTTGGTGGAAGTACGGACCTTGTTTGTATACAGTGCACTAGGACGTCTGAAAAATACTTAGGTGCTGGAACCAATAGTCTTGCTACTTCGAACACAGATGGGTCAAATTTGCTGCTTATGCAGGAAAATGTCCGTTCACATACGTCCAGGGTGGTAAAAGCCTGGTTGCACGAACATAATAGATACAATAGCACCTTATCTAACCACGATTTTGAATACAAGCTTCGAATTTGGTGTGTTTCCTGATCTAATGAAACATAGTAAAGTTATACCTTTATTTAAATCTGGTAGTACATTAGAATTCGCCAATTTTAGACCAATTTCTGTACTACCACCATTAAGTACAATTTTTGAAAAAAAAAATATTTTAGATCAGATGTTAAGTTTCTTAATATAAATAAATTGTTGATGCTTTGGGTGTATTTTGTAACCATTCCAAGGCCTTCGACTGTGTTCAACATGAGACATTAATCAGGAAGCTACAGTACTATGGTGTCAAGAACACAGCGCTTAAACTTATTATTTCATATTTAAGTAATAGAATGCAGAAAGTTATTATCA